AGTCTGCACTCAGCAATAAAATAAGTTATCAAGGAAAAAAATGAGAAGGAACTTTAAATGCTATATCTAAGTGAAAGAAATCAATACAGAAAGGCTACATAATGATGTATGATTCCAACTACATGACATTCTGGAAAAGGCAAAACTATTAAGGCAATAAGATCAATACTTGCCAGGGATTGAGGAAAAGAGTAAATAATGGGCATGAGGGATTGTGAAGCATAAAAACTATTTTGTGTGATACTGCAATGGTAGACACATGACTTTTGCATTTGGCAAAACTCAGAAAACTATATAACACAAAGGCTGAACCCTAATGTAAATTATAAATTTAGTTAATATTGGTTCATCAGTTATAACAAGTGCACACACCAATGCACCATTGCAAGACGTTAATTATAAAAGAAACTTTTTTTTTAGGAGAAAGCAAAGATTTATTAGGACACCACCGAAAAGGAATAGAATGACAGGCAGTTATGCAAAGAGCCAGAGTGTGCTAAAACAGAGTTTAGATTAAGTTTTATACCTCAGGTTAGACTTCTTTTGATTGGCTATCTCCCTTTTTGTGGGCCTTACTGGTAGGTTGTCTCTTCCTTGGATTGTGGTTTGAATTTCTCACACAAGGGAACATACCTGTTCCATCTGGTTTCTCCCAGGGCCCTGGATCCACTAGCTACATTCCATCTCTTCCTTGGTATGCCTTTGTCTGCCACGTTTCCTCAAAATGGGGGCCTCCTCCATATTCTTTCCTGACAGAACAAAAAAATAATCCTGGTTTTAATGGGGTGAAGTTCTCTTCTTCTTGAAATTGCTTTGAGCTGGGTAGGATCATAGAGATGTCCCTAACTATGTATTTGTTGTTCTGGCAAAGAATTATGGAGTAGTCCATGGCAGGATCTAATTGAATACTGGAATAAAATTATATGGAAGTCTCACTGGGAGGGATAAGAGGCACTGAAGGGTCAGGTGGTAGGGGATGGAACACATGTTGTCACATCATTTATAATTTTATGACCAAGAGGCAAAAAGAGAGAAATCTGATAAGAACATTAATAAAGCAAGGACCAATAGCAAAAAAGGACTAAAATAGATATTAGTGGTCCCAAGAAGGAGAGTTGGTGAAATGGCTCAAGCTATACAGCACCCACCTAAGCAAGCTATAAGTCCGGAGTTCAAATCCCAGTACCACAAGAAAAAAAAAAAAAAAAAGAGATCCCAAGAAGGGAAGAAACGAGGATAACCAAGACCAGATATTTTCCCATAAAAGCCATCTTTGGATAGCTCTTTCTCTAAGTTGAGAAGTTGGGTGGGTTATAACATATAAATCTTAGTTTGAATTTGTCCTGATTGATTATCAAGGAATCATTATATAAAAGGTGACATTTACCACAAATGACAGATAGGAACTCATCATACACATAAACAAACAGGTGGAGGGAACAACACAAGGAAAACATGGTATGTGCAAGGACAGTGAACAGTGTGAAGCACACAGAAGGTGGCAGCCATAGAGAAAGATAAGACTGAAAATGCACACTGGGTATCAAAGATTAATACTGAAAAAAGAGTGTATGTCAATAATTTTATATTGGGGAGGTACAGAATTGATAATTTTTGATATATTAGGTTAAATGGTATATATTATAAAATTAATTCTGCCTTATTATTTTTTAATGTGGCTACTAAAGAATTTTAACTTACATATATGGCTCGAATAGTATTTCTCCTGAACAGTACTGGTCTAGAGTGTTGGTAAAGGAATTACCAACCAAAAATAAATGCATAACATCAACAACAATCTTTATAGTATTGTGCAATCAGAAAATAAATGCCAGATATAAGGGATGGGAAATGTCATCTTACACTTTTTTCTTTAATCCTCTTGGGAAGACTCTAAATCAAACAAAAACAACAACAGCAAAAAAGTACCTCCACTAGGTCTAGGAAGGTCTATCCAGAGCCCAGATGTTAATTTCCAATGCCATTCTCATTGTAGAAATAAATAACAGGGGCAGAGAACATACAAGGCAAACCTAGACACAGGGAGCAGTAGCTCAGGTCTGTAATCCTAGCTTGTCTTGAGGCAGACATTAGGAAGATCATGGTCTAATGGCAGGCAGCCCAAGTAAATAGTTGGTGAGACTCTATCTCAAAAATAGCCAGCACAAGAAAGGGCTGGTGGAGTGGCTCAAGTAGTACAGCACCTGCCTAGAAAGCATGAGGCCCTGAGTTCAAACTCCAGTACCACAAAAAAAAAAAAAAAGATGAACCTAGATAAAACATCTTATTGTACCAGAAAGAAAAGCATTGCTCAAAACCATAACAATGGAAGCATGTAAAAAAAGATACAGGAGCCAAATGAAAATGCTCCCAATCACCAAATCTGAAACAATTTGATCAACAAAATAAATGACATAGTATGATACCACCAACAAAATCAACAATGTAGGGATTAAAATCCAGCGTATAAAATAACCTGGAGTCTATGGTAATATAAATAAATAACTAAATAAATGGGGGAGAATGAGCAAGTCTTCATAACAAAACAGTTGTGCCTTCAAAGTGGTGGAGCATAACTCCCCACCCCTTAAGTGTAGGCTGCACATACTGATTTCCTTCCAAATGGAAGTATGGAAAGTATGGAAAGGGAGTAAAACAATAATTTTGGACTGTAATCATGACTAAAGAGGTAGAGTGCCTGCCTTGCAAGTGTGAAGTCCTAGTTCAAACCACAGTACCACCAAAAAAGAATTTTTTTGCAGTAGAAAAAAACCTAACAGACCCTAATTCAGGCATGAAATGAAGCTTAACATAATTAGTAGTAATCATCAGTGATAAATCATTTTGTCAGCACATTCCCTGGAAATTATGTGAGGAAAATGGCTCTACAGCCTTTCTCTAAAACCACCCAATTAATTTTAAGGAAAACATCAGATAAATCCAAACTGAGAGACTTTCTTTAAAACCTACCAATACTCTATAAAACTCTCAAGGTCAGCAAAAATGAGGAAGGTGTGAGGAACCATCATGGCCAAGAGGATCCCAAGGACACACAAGGACTTAATGTAACATAGCATCCTAGATGGATCCTGGGACAAGAAAAAATATCCAAATAAACTATGAACTTCAGTTAATAATGCTTATCAATATTGGCTTAATAGTTGTGATAAGTGTGTCATACTAATGATAACAGATCATGTTAGGCAAAAGGTATAGAGAACTCACTGTACTGATTTTGAACCTTTTCTGCAAACCTAAAACTTCTCAAATAAAAAATGTACTAAGGTTCTGGTGCATGACTCAAGTGGTAGAGGGCCTGTCTTGCAAGGGGAAGGCCCTGGGTTCAAACCTTAGTACTGCCAAAAAGTAAAAATAAAATTAAAAATTAACAAGTTTTTTTTAAAAAAGAGACTTGCTTTACTTTGAAATCTTTCAAGACTATTGGAATCTTTATTCCCTTGGCCCAGTCCTTTATAACCTTACTATTCAGTGTGGTGATCTGGAAGATGGTTAGCAACCCAGAGTGACACACCCACCTCAGATGTGTTGGGGTTCTCAGAGAAACAGAACCAATGGGGGGGGGGAGAAGAGGGAAATAGAGAGAGGGGTATGAATAAGGTATTGCCTCTACAGTCCCCACACCCAGAAGGATGGTGGAAGTGGGGGGTACAAGGGTGTGAGTGAAATCTCAATTCAGTCTGCTATAGAGAATCCCCACTTTGCTTAGGGGAAAAAGGGACAGTAGGGAAGCTGGTGTTTCTGTTCTAGTCATGGAGGGCAATTAGCTTTACAGATTAAAGGTTAACCTCACCCCTCCATGTTGACACATAAAATTCCACACCAGGCCTGCTGAATCAGAATTTTTTTTTTTTTTTTTTTGCTACACGGTTGCTTGAATTTAGGGCCTACACCTTGAACCACTCCAGCAGCCCTTTTTTATGATGGGTTTTTTTTTTAATAGAGTCTGTCGAACTATTTTTCCCAGCTAGCTTCGAACCACGATCCTCCTGATCTTTGCCTCCTCAGTAGCTAGGATTACAGAAGTGAGCCACCAGTGCCCGGCTCAAAATGCACATCTTAAAAGGATCCGCTCGGTGACTCTGTACATATTCAAGTATGAGTGGCAGTTGTCTACAATCCTCAGAGTTTGAAATCTAACTGACAACTTCAGTCGCCGGATCTTTCATGTTTTAATTTGATCAGGAACCTTAGGGATGACCGCAGAAGGCCTCCCACCTGGACCTCACCAATCCTCTTATCTGGCTTACTGAATTATTGCTTGCAACCTTCCCGGCTGGCAACTACCACATCTTATCTTATCCGTCTGTCTCCACAGAGATGACCTTTCTTGCCCAGACAACAGCTCCAGGCCTGCCCTGCCAAGGCCACTGGTTCGTGTTTCCTAGCTCCTCTTAGAGTCAGCAACTAGGAGAATCTAAGGGAATTAGATCTGCAAGGAAACGCACACAGCAGAGGATTAGACAAGCTGAACCACAGGACACCCCTATATCGGGCTCTTTTCAACTAGAGAACCGGCAATTTCACTGGACTCTATTTTCCATCTGCAGTTTTTCTACCTCAAAAGCTATTTTAGGAAAGACCAGCAGTCACGGGGTAAACGGCACAAAGGCTGCTAATATTCCTATCAATTTGGCGACTGACAGCTGAGCGTCAAGCGCGCACCACTTCCCGAGTCTTACTTAGAGGCTCAAGTGGCAGTGCAAGACCCCAGGCTTCGAGTCACCCAGGTCCTCCAGCGCGGCTTCGCGCTTTACAACGGTTGGCAGCGGGACGTTCCCAAGAGCACCCGCGGCCACGCGGGCCCCGCCCACCAGGCCGGAACTCCGAACCTTGCTTTCCCCGCCCAGACTTGGCCGGCGCTGCCGGAACCTAAGATGGTGGGGGACGGAGTAGGCAAGGCCGGATCTGGGCGGGGCCTTGATGACAAGACGGGGCGGGACGGAGCCAAATGGGGCGGGACCAATGCCCGTGCCCCTGCCCAGCCCGGCCTGCACGGCCCCGGGGCCTGGGCTGTGGGCCCGAGCGCTCCTCCTTGCAGAGTCGCCAGCACCTCAGCTGTGGCAGGCATCATGAGGCCCACGGCTCGGGGTCCGGCTGTGAATGATGAGGACGAGAACACGGACAGCACCCCGCTCCTGCACGGCGCCCGCCAGGCCGAAGCCGGTGAGCGGCGGGACAATCGAGGGGCGGCGGGCCGGCGACACTCCCGGGACGGGCGGTGGTACCGGCGCAGGTGTGTCCCATCCAGGGTACCGGCGCAGGTGTGTCCCATCCAGGGTACCGGCGCAGGTGTGTCCCATCCAGGGTACCGACATCTTGGCTGGCCGGGCGGAGCTGTCAGGCGCAAGGGGACTCAGCGGAGGGGAAGCCCATTCAGGAACCAGCCCGACCGGCCTGTCCGGTGCAGGGACGCCCTCGGGCGGAACCCCGGCAGGTGCAGCCTCACGGGGCCCGCCCGCGGTAGTGCCCACCCAGGGAAGAACCACCTGGGAGGGACCTGCAAATCAATGAGCCGAGGCCAGACAGAGCCTCTGGCTCCCTTCCCTGCGACCGCCAGGTTTCCGCAGCTGCACATCAGCAAGCATGTGATCTGGTGGCTCCCGGGCGGGAGGCCAGATGAAAAAGCATAGGGTCAACATTTGTGGGTGTGCAGAGCAGTCATTGCATAACCCAGCGAACATCTGCCATTGTGCTGAAAGACACAAAAGATTGCACTTTTCAGGGTTCTTCCGTGTACGATTTCTATTAGGAAACAGTTCAGTTATCTTCAAGATAGGGTATCTATCGAGCTCAATGACAATTGGTCAAAGTTCTTCTAACAAATCGAAAAGGAAGAACTTCAAAAAGTATCTTCCCAGAATCTAGAGAAACTACAGGATTTGCTATTTGATACTTTTGTAATGTAGCTTCTTAAAAAGTAATTAAAAAAAACCTAAAGAGCAAGTTTGATTGCATGCATTCCACAGTATCAAAGGCGTGCGTGACAAAGAGTTAAACTGGAAATAGGACTTCTGTTGACCAAGAACAAGTTTTCCGTGGTCCACCCTTTGTATTTGTTTTTAACATTACCAGACGGTGGCAGTAGAGGTGACAACATTGTTTTTCCACCTGGCCTGTGAGAGCTTATTTTAGTCAAGGCTGAAGAGAAATATGAGACCAAAGAGACATTTTATCCAGAAATCTTAGTTCCATAAGCTGATGTGGCTTATGCTGTTAAAATTAGGTGGCCCAGTGACTGAAGTGGTAGAGTGCCTGCCTAGCAAGGGTGAGACCCTGATTTCAAAATCCCATTACCGTGGGGGGGGTGGGGGAGAACGAGGGACAGACGGACACTGATACAATCTTACTTTGTAAAATAATGCAAATGCCTTAATAGAGACTACTGTACTCAGTTGCAATTGGAATACATATGTGATCAAAATTTAGCTCAAATGTCAAACATCATTCATTGTCAGAAAATGCATATTGAAACCACAGTGGGCCATTATATACTCCTAGAATGGCTGAAATTCAAATCAGTACTGACAAAGAGGTGAAATAACAACTCCAGCACATTGCTAGTAACTGTGTAAAATAGGACAACCACTCTGGAAAACTCTTGGGTAATCTTTTTGAAGGTAAACATACAATACCATGAACCACACAGTGTTTGTAGCAGTTTTATTCATAACAGTCAAAAACTGGAAACAACTTAGTCATCTGGCAAATGGATAAACAAGTTGTGTATCCATAGAATGCAATACTACTCAGTACTAGAAAGGGACAAAATACTGATCCACATAACAACATGAATAAACCTCAGAAACATGCTGAGCAAAAGAAGTCACCATTTTAGTATGTGATCTCCTCGATTTGGAGTTTTAGGACAAGTAAAACTAATATGTAATAACATAATGCAAGTCAGTGATTGCCTGGAAGCTGTGGGCAGGAGGGAATCTACAAAAAAGCACTGAGGTACTTTGGGGATGATATGAAAGTTTCGAATCTTGATCTTGATTGGATTAGACATTAATCACTTTTATTGTACTTTGATAAAGTTGAATGAAAAGAAGCCAGGCATGTAATCCCAGCATTTATGAGGCTTGAGGCAGGAGGATCATGAGTTCCAAGCCAGCCTAGGCTACATAGTGAGACCCTGTGTCCAAAACAAAACATATTTAGGGGTGTGTGTGTTTCTGGAACATGCCAGTAGGAAATCAGTTGTACCTTATCTGTGCCTAAGTATGTTGTTTTCTTTTTCTAAAGAGAAAGGTTGAGAAAATGTCCTAGCTGTAAAATTTTACAGCAGTAAAAAGATCCAAGGTTCCCACTTAGTATAGTGTCATTTTTATGCCGGCATTGAGGGACAAAGAGGCTTAGTCAGTTGCAGAAGTTCACACACACTGGTAGAGACTAGACTCCAAGTTCCCTTGGATTTTAGTCCTAAATCCTTCCTGGACACATAGTTCTACATTGATATTACATTCAAGAAATTTCTGTTTGAGATCCAGGTTCTGATACACAGAAGACAGGCAGGAATTTCAGGGTTCTTGGGTCCACTCTGAGAATGAAAGCAGCAGAGGTCGGAAAGATTTTATTCATAGAAAAGAGAAAGGCTGCATGAGGGCGTGAAGGGGGACCCGGAAACTGATGATCCTGTGGGTCAGCTTAGAGATTGGGTTTTTATAACCTTTTTTATCGCCTGAGGATGAAGATGTCTCTCAGGTGCAAACAGAAGTTTCCTGGGAAGGAGAGGTATCTCCTTGGCCAATTACCACCTTTTGGGACCTCCTGCAGTCTGTCCTTTAATTCCCCCCTCTCAGTGATCACCCTAACTGCTCTTAGGGACAGGGATAAGTCTATTCAGTGACTCCTTCCTGCTGACAGGGGGGCGATGAAGGGGCCCACAGCATCAGGGCTGACCCATGAGAGGGGTTATCAAGGGGACCAAGATAGTAGGTCATTTTCATCTTCATCAGGAGCATCTGTAGTTTGATGGATTCTAGGCAAGAGGAAACAAACTTGACAAGTAAGTTTAAAATGCAAAGCCCAAACAAAAGCAAGAGAATAATGGCAACTATTGGCCCCAGAACAGGTAGGAACCAATCCTGAAGGGGAGCCAGGATTTTATTTGGTTCCATACTTATGTAGAATCCTGAGTTTTGACACTATTAGTGTCATTACCAAATAAGAGCATAGACGTTTTCATATGTGCATTTTATGGGGTTTTTTACATATGTAATTTTAACTTACCATCGCCTGGTGAAATAAGTGGATATTTTGTTTGTTTATTTTGTGGTGCTAGGGATTGAACCAGGACCTTGTGCATGCTAGGCATGTACTCTACTACTGAGCTATACCCCAGTCCAGATGTTCATATGTCAACATTTATCTACTCTTTGTTTTGTTCTCCTTTTGTTTTGTTTGTGGTGTTGAACAATGAACCCCCGCCTCCCAGATGCTAGGCAAATGCTCTACCACTGACCTATATCTCCAGCCCAGATTTCTTTTTAAACGGACAGGGTCTCTCTGTATTTCCCAAACTATTCTCATACTCATGGACTCAAGTGACCCTCACATCTGAGCCTTCCATGCCCAGCTGTTAAACGGACATTTATCAAACATTCAGTGTTGACCACAGAAAGAAAATCCATGTGTAAGCATATAATTCAAGTGAAGACTGGGTCAAACTCATCCTCTCACATGTCCCTTGTTTCATTGGTTCCTCCAACTTCCTCTGCCTTCTGGTACATTCACTTATTTACCTTTGCACTGTGGGCCCTTTAAGCACAATAGCTACTGAGCAACTGTCATAGATGCTGCAATTGTCATAGATTCTGTAAGTTTTCTTCTGGATTCTTAAATACATTTAATTTAGGAGAGCCTTAAGTATTAATCATGGCTTCTGATTTAAACCTAGCTTCTGAGGATATTCTTCAAGGTAAGAAATTTATCAAGAGTTTTGTGTCCTATTCAATATTTCTTTTTTTCTTTTTCTTTATTTTCTTGTGCTACATTTACAGTGAGATGGCTACCACCCATAGTCAGTAGTATATATGCCATTCATTGTAAGTGCTCAAGTACTTACCAACAATAATTAGTTAGGTTTTTAGGAATAGTGATACCATTAAACTCCCTTATCTATTTTTTTTTATGCCTTGTCTTTGCCAGCTGAGTGGGATTAGTGGTTCACTTTGAATGTGGAACAGAGATTTTTGTGACCAAATTTGACAAAGCTATTACTCCCATGTTTTAATGGACTGTCCTAAAGTTTGGGCTCTCAGGTGTTAAGTTTTTATCAAAACTAGATACAGGGAACAAATTCTTTTTGGTAAATCTTTTCAAATATACTTAATCTCAGGCTATTCCAGAAAATATTCATGACTATCAGTTTATCTGTGCACTTCTAAAAAATGATTTTTTCATGATTTAGACAACATCAGGTAATTTACTCTCTTAATTAAAGTTTCTCTCAATATTTATTTCAGCTCCAGTGTGCTGCTCTGCTCGTTACAACTTAGCAATTTTGTCTTTTTTTGGTTTCTTCGTTCTCTATGCATTGCGTGTGAATCTGAGTGTTGCATTAGTGGATATGGTAGATTCAAATACAACTTCCATAGATAACAGAACTTCCAAGGAGTGTGCAGAGCACTCATCTTCCATAAAAGTTCTTCATAATCAAACGGTAGGTGGTACTTTTTAAGCAAACAATCTTACTTAATCCTAAAATGTGTCCAAGTAAAAATACTGAAACATCTGCCTTCATCCAACAGAAACTAAAACACTTATTTCCATGTGTACTCTGAGTCACATTCTTTTTGTGTTTCCCCAGGAACTGGTTGAACAGTAACTTATAACTATAGTTGCTGCTGTGCAGTCAAACACCTTGATCTGTTTAAAACTAGCTCCTCAGTTTCTTCTAAACACGTAGAGAATGTGGAAAAAGTTGTTTGGCATAGCAGAAAATAAGATTGCTTTAAATACTGAGTATTTTCTAAGGACTATTAGTTGCTAGTGTACTTCACTTGCACGGTTACAGTTGCAGTGGAATTTGGGTACTCTTAGGTGCAGAATGGGAAATGAAAACTGGTCAGTTTCTAAAGGCATTCTTTGCCAGCATTTATATATGCTTAACCTATGTGAGGCATTTGTTCTGCCTCACATTATAGTGGAATTGATAAATGTGTGATCATCCTTTGTTTAGAATGGAGTGTTAACATACTTAAATTTTTTCCTTTGCCTTATGTAACATTAATAATATTACTGAATAGCACATTTGGTTACATATCACTAAAGCCCACCTCCTTCAGGGGTAGTTCTGCTGGATGAGTTCATGAAATCTAAAATTCCACAAATAAACTGCAAACTATATAATTAATGGTTTGCTTTGTATCTTTCCCTTTGGCAAGTACATTTGTTGACCTAGCCATGTGTCTTCATCTACCTTATAGAGGCAGTAAAAAGAAATCTTGGAATGGGTGACTTAGTTATACAGCTTCATTCATTAAGATGTCACCTATTCAGATGAGTCACTAAACCCTCATTGTTATCTTACTGTTGTCTGCTGCTAGTTAAAAGGCAGGTCTCCTCACATGGAGTTTATGGCTAAGTTTAAATTCTTGCTATAAAATGTCCCATGTGCTTGTTCAAGTGGTTAGTCTGAAATGGAGAGGTACTATGTATATTTGTGCATGCTAACATCCAACATTAAGTGAATACTCACTGTATATCAGACCTTATTTTATTTATTTCTTCCTACATTACATACCCAGTAAGTGACAGAGATAAGGTTAAACCCAGGCCTGACTTTAAAGCTTGGTTTAATAGCTTCCTAGATTAAGCCCATGGCTCTTTTTTGAGTGTTCTTGGTCAGAGTTGTTACAAAGCCACCACAGCTTATCCTCTAGTCTAGTTTCATAAAATAGCAAGACTTTTTGAAGTTTATGACTTTCAATTTTTTTTTTCTCGGCAGTACTGTGGAATTGAACTCAGGGCCCCACACTTACTAGGCAGGCACTCTGCCACTTGAGCCACTCTGCCAGACCTGTTTTGTGTTGGGTATTTTTAAGATAGGGTCTCAAGAACTATTTGCCTGGGTCTGGCTTCAAACCACGATCCTCCAGATTTCTACCTTGGAGTAGGTAGGATTACAGGTGTAAGCCACCAGTGTCTGTTAGCTGTTTTTCCCACTTGAGCCACACATCCAGCCCTTTTATGGTTTTGTTTCCATTGGTTGTTTTTGAGATGAGGTCTTGCTTAATACTCAGGCAGACCTGCACCACAATCCCTCTTATTTGTGCTTTCCTGCCTGGCTGGGATGACAGGTGCGTACTACCTTGCCCATCCATGGGTTGATATGGGGTCTTGCGAATTTTGCCCTGCTTGATCTCTAACTGTGATCCTCTCAATAATCTGCTTTCCATAGTCATGAGCCACTGCACCTGGCTGATGACTTTCAATTCTTTTCCACTCACTTCTAGAAAACTGCACATCTGTATTGCAGTGACTCACCCACCTACTAAAATGTTTGCATGTACTGCAATCCACAACAGTGGTTCACCATTTCATTTATATGTACTTACATGCCAGTAAGAGAAAGAAACTGTTTAATCAAGTCTTAAAAGATTTTTTTTTTCTTCCTGCATTTTACAGGGTAAAAGGTATCACTGGGATGCAGGAACTCAAGGATGGATTCTTGGTTCTTTTTTTTATGGCTACATCATCACACAGATCCCTGGAGGATATATGGCCAGCAAAGTAGGTGGGAAACTGCTGCTTGGGTTTGGGATCCTTGGCACTGCTGTCTTCACTCTGTTCACACCCATCGCTGCAGATCTGGGAGTCATAGCTCTCATTGTACTTAGAGCACTGGAAGGACTAGGAGAGGTAAAGTTTTTGTCTCTTGTTTTACTTTTTACCTGATATTTTGTTCTCCTCTTCTTAAAACCATCAGTCTGTGGTGTGTATATGAACCAAAAAGTGCCATTGAATAACAAATTATAACAACATTTAGCTAGAAAAGAACCTGAGATAAAGCCATCTCATCTAAGTGGAAGCACCCCAAAGTTTGAAGCTTCACTCAAGGTGGGAGAAAACACTTTCCATTGGAGACTATAGCTTATACTTTAGGAGATGAGAAAACAAACCACTTGATTTTACCACACTTTACACAATTTGTTGTTCAATTGCTTTATTTTACTTTTAAATTAGTTGTTATTCATGGAACTTCCTCTGTATCATTCGTTCTTTTCTTGTTTCTGATCCTCTAACTTACAGAGACAAATCATTTATGATTTTATATAACTATCCCAATTTAGTTCTATGATTCTTCTGGACTTTTCTGCTGTAAGAATTGTTAATTTTCATCTCTTTTTCTCTCCTAAGATGTCTATACATCATTTTTAATTATTTTTGTTTGTTTTGGTTTTGATGCTGGGATCATATCTAGGGCCTTGAGAATACTAAATATGCATTCTACCTCTGAACTATACCCTAAGCCCCACTTAAGGAACTCTTAATTCCTATCTTTCTTTTCCTCCCACCTCTCTTTTGTATACCTCCATCTTTAAATAGTGATTTCTCTTCCTTTGTAACTGAACATCTACCTTTGAAACCTAGGCATAGATTTATTGTGCTGTCTTGCATTTCTTTAACTTAAACACAATAGTGGCATGCATGACGCATGAAGGTTATATTAGGTAGCACTGTATGATGCATGTTGGAAAGAACACTAAACCAGTGTCAGAAAAATCAGAGTTGGAGTAATAGCTCCCCTGTATCTAACAGTAAAACCTTGAGTAAGATCTAACCTCTAGTTCTCATTTCCATCATTGTAAAAATTGGGATTAAAGCTAGGCATGGTGGAGCATGCCTGTATTGCCAGCTACTTGGGAGGCTAAGGTGGGAGGATCAAAAGTTTGAGGCCTGCCTGAACTACATAATGAGTTCAAGGCTGGCCTGTGCAGCTAATTAGACTCTGTCTCAAAATAAAAATTAAAAAGGGCTGAGAATGTAGCTCTGTGGTAGAGCACTTCCCTAGCATACACAAGGCCCTAGGTGTGATCCCCAGTACTGCCAAAAAAGAAAAACAATTGTGACCAAAATACCTCCCCATCCTCAGTCACAGGATAAATATAAAGCTTATATAGGAGAAAGGTTACTAAAGTACTTTGAAAATCTCCGAGTACTGTTTAAAGTTGTATAATTTATCAGAGTGTTCTTATTTTATCCTTATCATCTTTGCATCTCATTTTTCTCTCTATTAGTACTAATAATTCTGTTTTTATTTTTACAATAATTTTTTGTGGTACTGGAGTTTGAACTCAGGACCTCACACTTGCTAGGCAGGTGCTGCACCACTTGAGCCACTCTGCCAGCCCTTTTTTGTGTTGAGTATTTTCAAGTTAGGGTCTAATGAATTACTTGCCTGAGCTGGCTTTGAACCATGATCCTCCTTATCTCTGCCTCCTGAATAGCTAGGATTACAGGTGTGAGCCACCAGTGCCAGGCCTTTACATAATTATACAAGATTATAGTAGTCTAATAACCCTTCTTGGTTACAAAGTAAAAATTATCTCTATTACTAGGCTATCCTTTTTCTTACCTACATAAAATAAATAAAATATATTTATTTATAGTATATTTTCTTTGATCTAAGTAGCCAGTCTCACCTCGGGCTGTAGCTCTGTGGTAGAGTGGTTGCCTAGCTTGTACAAGGCCCTGGGTTCAATATCCAGCACTGCAAGGAAAAACAAAAACACAAAAAACTTTAAAACAAGTAACAAATCTCCTTAATATATTCTCATACTTTGGCTTCCTGTCCGTTTATGGAACTAATTGAACATTACAGCATACTCTTTGCATTACTACTCATGGATGTTCCAGGGTATAGATAGCGTACATCATCTCTGCCTCCCATGGTACTTCTCCATTCCTTTTTGTTCTGAAAGAATCAGCAGAAATTATTAAAGCATGTTTTATCTCTACTAGTAATAATTCTAACTACCTTTTATCTTTACAATAGTTAGGCAAGATAGAGAATATTATCCCTTTTTTTACAGTTGAAGAAACTGAAGTTCAAAATGGTTGACTAGGGAGAGAGGCCCAAACAATGTATGCACATATGAATAAATGTACAAACAATTTTTAAAAAGATGGTTGGCTAGTCTTTCTAAGGTTATACAGCTAGGGAGTGGCCAAGAAGTGTGAATTTGTTGATTCATGAATCTACCAAAACCCATTCTCTCTTCCTGTCTTATGTATCTCCTGCTCTGCCAAGTCTCCATGGGCCTCCTGGTGTCCGTGTTCCATTACCTCTCCATATCAGTAATTGGCATTTACTGAGCTTGTTATCACTAGGAGGGAAGAACTATGAACACTCTCATTGAATTCATTCTTTTCTAAAAGGACCATTTTTCCTGCTGATTTAATTTTAATATCCTCTAGTATCCCAAAGTATTAGCTCAGTATTTTTAAAATTTACAAACTGGTAATAGTCCCATTTCATCCAGATCACTAACAAAGAGAATGAATAAAATTAACCTTGAGAGTGATCCCTGTGTGTCATCACCCAGAACATTCTGTCAGATTTATTGTAACCCTTACCTTATAGTCCCCAAACCAGTCCACAAGTCCATGAACCTTTATCCAGATTTTGAAAGTATTTCATTCTAAGGTGTTTTCACTTAACACTGACACTATTTTAACACTGTAAAGACATCTCACTTGCTAGAATTTGATTCTGGTTTGGTTCTTATCCAAGAACTTCTTTTGTAACAAAATACCCAATTTTAAGCATTAGCAACTACCCTGTATTTCATCAGAAATATTCTCTGCCTTCCCCCCTCAGGGTGTTACATTTCCAGCTATGCATGCCATGTGGTCTTCTTGGGCTCCTCCTCTTGAAAGAAGCACACTTCTCAGCATTTCATATGCAGGTAAGATAACCATTATATTAAATTTTTGCTATAATGGCATTATGTGTACACTAATGTGGGGAGAAAAGTAAGTGCCTACATGCCAGGATCATACAACACTGGATGACTCTTTTGGGGGAAAATAAACTTTTGGGTGTATAACTATTATTAATTTTCTCTTTGATTTAACAATATACAGTAATGTGTCTTAGTTAACTAATATCATTTTACCCATCTACCATCATTTATTTCAAAGTATGCTGTCTTTTTAATGGTATAGAATGCTATTAAAAGAAGGAAAAAAAAAGACCAATAGCAGAAAAATTGAGTTTTGTCCTTTAATTGTGGTTTCTAATTTGATTGTATAATGAACATACCATGACTCTCAATCCTTCATGCATCTTTTTTTCTATGCATTTATTTGTCATCACTTTGAGCTATAGGTAAGATAACATGAGCTTTCTATATGTGAATTATAATTTTTCCAAATTACATAAGAACCTCTAGCTCTTCTTGCACTAAATGAATAGAAAAGTTTCCAGCTAACTGACTTTTTGTTTATTTTATTTGGTTTTTTTTTGAGACAGGCTCTCACTATGTAGCCCAAGCTGAAACTCACTATGTAGCCCAGCTTGCCTTCATCTCAAAATCCTACTTTCTCAGCCTCCTGAGTGCTGGATTATAGCATAACCCACTATGCCTGGCTCTACCAAACTAATTTTAAATACAGTAGTTGACCAAGACCTGTCTATGGTGACTTTTAGGTTAAAATCTGAACAATAAGAACAAACCAGTCATGCAAAGAGCAGAAAAAAGAACATTCCAGTCAATCAGAACAGCAATGTACAAGGACTCTTAGGAAGGAAATAGCATAAGAGTTCAAAGAAATGAAAAAGCACTGAAGGTGGTTAGAAGATAGTAAATAAAGAGGCTAATAGCATAAGATAAGGCTAGAGATACAGACAAGAGCCAGGCCATGGGAAGGGATGATGATTTCATTCATCCCCCCCCAAAATACAATGGGGAGACATTAGAGGGTTTGGAGGTTTTTTTGTTTCTTTGGCAGTACTGGGGTTCAAACTTAGTGCCTCATACTTGCTAGGCAGGCACTTACTACTTAAGCCACTTACCAGCCATTTTTTGCCTTGGGTATTTTCCAGATAGGGTCTATTCGCCCAGGTTGGCTTCTGATCTCTGCTGGTGTGTGTTTGTTTTTATTTTTGTTTTAGGAGAGTTAGGGGTGGGGTTGCTTTTGTTTTTGTGTGTTTGTATTTGTTTAGTTGTTTGGTTTTTGGTACTGGTGTTTTTTTATTTTGTTTAGTTCTGTTCTGGGTTTTTTGTTTTGTTTTTGAGAATGGGTCTTACAATGTAGCCCAGGCTGGTCTGGAACTTGTGATCCTCCTGCCTTAGCGTTCCAAGTGTTATTACAGGCTCTAGCACCGAGCCTGCGTCACATTAAAGGTTTTTACAAGTGAGAGACAGGATCAAACAATTGTTTGTACTACACAGAGATAACTAAAAAGCTTTACTTTTATTTCAACAAGTTTCCTCTTAGTCCTAGAGAACATTTTTGAACCTTTCCCCAGACGCTCGAATTTCTAACACACAGGTGGTTTATTATATCATGTGCACGCATGCGTGTGTGTGTGTGTGTGTGTGTGTGTGTGTGTGTGTGTGTGAGTGACTGGGATTTTAACTTAGGGCTTCATGCTTACAAAGCAGGCAATATACTATTTGAGCAACACTTTCATTTTGCTTTGGTTATTTTGGAGATAAGGTCTTGCAGACTATTTGCCGGGGCTGGCCTCAAACCTCAGCTTAGCATTACAGTCATGAGCCACCAGAGCCCAGTTCATACTTTTTTTTTTTTTGAGACAGGGTCTCACTATGTAGCCCAGGTTGCCCCAGAATTTAACAATCCTCCCACATCAACTTCCTGAACACTAGCATTACAAGTATTCACCACCACACCCCCATGGTATATCATACTGTCATGAATCTTCATATTGATTGATTCCTTCTGATCCATCAATACAGCTATCAGTTTCATAGCTGTAACTGTATTAATATATAGAGGTTTACATATTGTCGGTTTTCTAGAAAATGATCCACTAAAAGAGTGGAGGAGTGTTTATATTTACATGTGACTATTGTGACTCCTTTAGATTTGTTTTTTTCTTTTCTTTTTTTGGTACTGGGGCTTGAACTTAGGGCCTACACCTTCAGCCACTCCACCAGCCCTTTTTTGTGATGGGTTTTTTTGAGATAGATCTCACCAACTATTTTCCTGGGCTGGCTTTGAACTGTGATCCTCCTGATCTCTATCTCCTGAGTAGCTAGGATTGCAGGCGTGAGCCACCAGCTCCTGGTTCTCCTTCAGATTTTAGTAGTTCTTTCTAGGCAGGTGTTCTGTTGCTTTAGCCATACCTCCCGGTCATGGGTTTTCATAGTTCTTCTTTTATCAGCTGCTCCCTATCCTTTTTAAGGAATATGCCTGTCCCTTCTTTGTTCGCCTTTGTGGAAAATTTATAGTCTTATGTGTTGTTCTAGGAGCGCAGCTTGGAACAGTAATTTCACTTCCTCTTTCTGGACTCATTTGCTACTACATGAATTGGACTTATATCTTCTACTTTTTTGGTAAGTTTAAAATTTGAATCTAAGTTTTATAGCATAACAAATCCAAACTGTAATAATCAGTTAATATATTTTCATATATAACAAAACATATATACATATGTCTAATCATCAGTTAAAATATATACATTATTCCAACTTGCTGAAGTAATCATCTCCTAAACCACAAAGTTCTAAATCACTGACACCTGCTTTTCAATTTGCTATGGTTAAAAGGATCTACCTGAGTTATCACTTGATGTTAGTTTTAGACTATTTCTCAATAAAAGCTGCTGCTGAATCCTGGAATTAAATGCCACACTACCAAAAGTTACTGTGTTGGGTACTATAAAAAATGTGTGTTGGAAAATATTTCTTCTCAAAGCAGGTGGGATGCTCACACTTGGCCCTTATTTTAGTCTGAGGACATTTCTCAGATTCATTGGCAAGATAAGATACATTCTGAACAAATTAGATTTTCATGTAGACATTTCATGCAGGAAATACATCTACCATCAAAAACAACAGCAGGAGCATGACTCAAATGGTAAAGTGCTTACCTAGCTTGTGCAAGACCCTGAGTTCAATTCCCCCTGTGCTGAAAAAAATCTGACTACTAAGTCAGGAGAAATCAAAACAAATAAACAAAGTAGACACTTACGGAAATATATAGAATGTAGAAATTTATTTTCAAAAAGGTTTGTCAGGTGGTCCATGCCTGCAATCCCAGTACCAAAGGGACTGAGGCTGTATAACAAGACCCTGTCTCCAAAAAAAAACTTGTCTGGTAGACCCTGATAGGCAGAACCATGTGGTTAAAAGCTGTTTTCTTCAAAATGTATAGGAATTACACATTAAAGAATTAAAACTTGAAATTGAAACTCATTTTACATTGAATTTATACTTAGATTTTCAAGTCATGTAAAAATTGTTGTTGATACTTTCTAATTTTACTTAACTATTATTTTTCTATTTTAAGGTATAATTGGAATACTTTGGTTTATTTTATGGATCTGGCTAGTTAGTGATACACCAGAAACTCACAAAACAATCTCCCATTATGAAAAACAATACATTCTTTCATCATTAAAAAATCAGGTATGGATTTTATTTATTTTAAAATTTGGTACTTTTTTTTTTTTTAATTTCAGGGATTGGTAGAGTGGCTTAGGTAGTGGAGTGCCTGCCTAGCAAATATAAAGCCCTGAGTTCAAACCCTAGTACTATAAAAAATAGAAAACCAACCAGTGTTTTTATATCTGTGTTTTGTTTTGTTTTGTTTATTTATTTTGCAGTACTGGTGATCCAACCCAGAGGCTTCATGCAAGCTAGGGGAGTACTCTACCACTTAACTACAGCCCTAGCCCCACCTAGGGATCTTACCTGTCATCTACCCACAAAGTATTAAATTGGTCAAGTGTGATGCTGGCCTCAGAAGTTGTAAAGCTTCCCTAGTGATTGCCTGCAGCAAAGTATAGGAGCCAATGCTCTATAGAATCATCAAAAAGTAAAATTTCAATTCCTTGACAGATTTTTTGTCATTTGTTTGGCTTGGTTGTGTTCTGTTTATTTAGTAGGTCTGGAGTAGAGTACAAGCACCTGTAATTTTAACATGAGAGAGGCAGTGTAAAGGACAGCTGGAACCAGAACTATTGCTGCAAAAGAACAAATGCACTGTTCCCTGTATCCCTTGCACCTTTGTTACACATTGACAGGCCAACATGCCAAATAAAAAGTCCCTAACATAAAAACAACAAAAGACAACAAAAATAAAAAAAAGAAGTCCCTACCAAAAAGGCCACAAGAAAGTTAATACTGGTTCATCTTTTTTGAAATAACAGTGAACACTGTAGACAGACATAGATTTCTCTTGCTTTTGAGAAAGGAACCAGAGCCTCAGTTTAAAGAAATTGTAAAATGCTGATGTCCCAGACCAGTGTCTGCCATCCACAAGTTATCCAAATGTACTACTGTACTTATATACATCATGAAGCATATACAAAAATACATAACATAAATAATATTTACCTAAAATTTAACAGAAGCCCCTTTTGCTGTCACTTACAAATGATAACAATTTGTTAACATACTAATGTCTAATGAGGCCAGTGTGTGTGAATATGCTATATTTGATGATCCACGGTAGCTAACAAAGCACTCGTGAGGAAAAATGGCAGCTCTGGTATTTTTCTTAAGTGTTCATTGTGTTGTATATTACTAGAATTCTCTTCTATTGACTGTTGCTCCACAGGAATCTTTTAAAGACCCTGTCAAGTTTATGAGACTTGTTTTAATTAAAACTGTCTTAAAATTCCCTAAGTCCACCTAAGTATGCAGGTATAAACTGTGATCTCAGGTTGTAGCATGATACACTGAGGGCAAACAGAAAAGTGAGAATGCCATTGTTAAGCCCTCTGAATTGGGGAAGTTATACTGTGGGTGATCATCTGATCTACTTCAGGGCCAACCTATTTACTAAATATAGATAGAGCTTAATTTCTTCCTTTACAATAAAAATGAGTACAAATAGAAACTCTAATGTGTCTTTCCCCAACTTTTGCATCCCCTGGGGTGCTTCTACCCTACTTTGAAGATCACTTCTCCACTTGGTGGCATATAAAGCCCTCTGTTGCACAGATCTTGTTTTCTTTTACTATTCTCTTCTTTTTTTTTTTTTTTTTTGAAACAGGGCCTTGCTATATTGCCTGGATTGGTCTCCAACTCTGGGCTTAAGTGATCTTCCTCCCTCAGCCTCCCAAGTAGCTAGGTACGCAGATGTGCTAATTCATATAAATCATTTCAGTTGAACCAAGGTTGAATAAAAAAAATATGAATTGTAGGCTGGGTGCCAGTGACTCACACCTGTAATCCTAGCTACTCTGGAGGCTGAGATCGGGAGGATTGTGGTTTGAAATACCCAATACAATAAAAGGCTGACAGAGTGGCTCAAGGGATAGAGTGCCTGCCTAACAAGTGTGAGGCCCTGAGTTCAAACCCCAATACTGCAAAAAAAGAAAGAAAGAAATATGAATTATAATACACCCAATAGCTTTCTTTTACCTTATCTCAACCTGAGGCCATAATTATGAAACCGTTCTCTATTTTATAGATAAATTAATGCTGAAGGTGGTATTTATGAGAAGTGTTTAGGATTGACATTGTCACTCTAAGATTACATTTCCATTTTTTCCTCTTAATTCTAATCATCTCTAGCTAGCATTTTTTAAATGAAACATATTTATCATGTATTTTGCTATTTAATATTTCAAAGGAGTTGATTTTAAATTCTGGAATTTGCTAGTCAAGGCTGATAGTCGAGGCTGGTCTAGGTTGAGCTTTAGCTAATAAGGTAGAGCGCTAAGCATTAGCACAGCTGTTGCTTATCCTAAGTTTGTCTGTTTCCTCAGCTTTCTTCACAGAAGTCAGTACCATGGAAATCTATTTTAAAATCATTGCCACTTTGGGCTATAGTGGTTGCACATTTTTCTTACAACTGGACTTTTTATACTTTATTGACATTATTGCCTACTTATATGAAGGATATCCTAAGATTCAATGTTCAAGAGGTAAGAAAAATAACCATCTGCTTCTTATGTAGAATATATATATATACTTTATGCATAGAATTTGTTTTCATCTAGATGAAATTCTGTCATTTTATATCTTCCATTTTACTGTGCTTATTAAATTTTATAGACATCTCTTTTTTTTGGTTTTTTGTTTATTGGACTGTTGGGTTTTTTGTTGTTTTTGGTGAGACTGGTGTTTGAACTCTAGGTTTCACACTTGCAAAAGAGGTGCTCTACCGCTTGAGCCACTGCTACAGTTCATTTTCGAGATAGGGTCTGGTGAACTATTTTCCTGGGCTGGCTTTGAACCTCCTGATCTCTGACTCCTGAGTAGCTAGGATTACAAGCGTGAGCCACTGGCACAAATACCAAAAAAAAAAAAAAAAAAAAAAGAGACAGTGCTTGGTGAGGAGAGCCAAAATAGGAGGAATAAGAAACACCAAGAAGAATACTTACCTGGCAGGGGAGATACCATGATCACAAAGGTGGTTTTCCCAGGGCAAGGCTTATCCATTGCACTCCAGATGTGCTGACCTGTGCGATTTCCCAAAATGTGGGAAACTCAACTACATAATTTGTGGTAGTGGGGGACTGCGTTCGCTCTCTCCCCTGAAGAAAAGAAAAAAAACACCAAGAAATATTCCCAAGCTCTAGAGGGAGGGAGTGTGTGTGTGTGTGTGTAAACGTAAAATGGACTTACTTTTTTTTTTTTTTTTTTGCAATACTGGGGTTTGAAGTCAGGGCCTACACCTTGAGTCACTCTACCAGCCCCTTTTTGTGAAGGGTTTTTTATCCAACTATTTGCCCAGCTGTCTTTGAACTATGATCCTCCTGATCTCTTCCTCCTGAGTAGCTAGGGTTACAGGAGTGAGCCACAGGTGCCCAGCAGATTTTCAGCTTTCAGATAGTTTCTTTGAACTAAAGTTTTACTTGGCACTGATCTTTTAAAAATAAATAAAATATGACCTAGGATCATATTACAAGAAAAAAGGAATTGAAGGGACATATAGATTAAAAGCGACATAAAAGACACATGAAAAATTATTAAATAATTAAAGCCTCAACTAGAGTTTAGTTAAGACCAAACTACAGTATCTAGGGTTGCACTTTGGGTGATGCAACCATAGACAAATGTGAGCATGTGTAACCAGGATGATTCTTACTTATGGAGAAAGGAAGAGGGTGTGATTGGACTAGGACAATGAAGGCTCTCCAGGAGGCTGGCTATTTCTTGATCTAGATGGTCCTTAGAATAATCTGCTAAGGTATCCATTTATTTAACTTGTGTGGCTTTCTGTGTATGAATTTTATTTTATAGTAAAAATATTTTAAAATAAGTAAGTAGAGATTGAGGACAAATTGTTCCATAGAGAGAATCCAGAGGCTAACAGGAAGACTTGTCTTCTCCCACAGCACAAGTTCAGACTAACAGCCAAGATTGTGTTAAGCAGACAGGACTGTGATGAGCCTGGTTTCCCTCTGAGACAGCTCCTTGGAGACTGTGTTAAACTGAATCCCATAATCTTTCCAAACGCAAAATTATTTCCTATAATTCTATAAACATTAACAGAATATTACTGTTTTTCTCGTTTTCAAATGGTAGTAGTGTGTGTGTGTGTGTGTGTGTGTGTGTGTGTGTGTGAGATGTGTGTGTGTCTGTGTGTTTTCCTTCTACCGTAATTAATCCTGTGTCTTCTTATTCCTTCCAGAATGGGTTTTTATCTGCATTGCCTTATTTTGGCTGTTGGTTATGTATGATCCTGTCTGGTAAAGCAGCTGACAATTTAAGGGTGAAATGGAATTTTTCAGCTCTAAGTGTACGCAGAATTTTTACCATTATAGGTAAGTGAAGTGAATCAAGTTTTGCTTTGGTTTATAGTTACTAAAGATAAGAAAAAAAATGTTTTCCTACTCTCACATATTCATACAGTATACAACACCATAAATACTTCTCTAGTTGCAACGTGTGTGGGGACTTTTCCACACACATCCAGTTCTGCAATAGACACCAGCTGGATGTGCTGTGCTATAATTCAGTTTCTCCACTGTCTTCCTGGAGATGTGTTGGTATATGTACTGCAAGCTGAGGATAAGTTCACAAGGCTACCCCTGCCCACTTGAGATGCCTGGCACACATCCCAGGTTCTGGCCTGTATACTGTTCACTGACTGACTATAACTTGGGGTCATAACCCATCTCAGGTTCAAGTACTTTGTTCAAGTAGCTCACAGAACTCAGGGAAACACTGTATTTGTATTTGCTCACATATTACAAAGGCTATTCCAGAGGCTGCAGAGGAATGGCCAGGTGGAAGAGATGCTCAGGGTGAGTATGTTGGAAGGAGCTTGGGGCTTCCATGCTCTCTGCAGGCGCACCTCCCTCCAGTAACCTCCACATGTTCTGCTGCTTGGAAACACGTCCAAAACTTCTTGGATGTTGGGTTTTTTTTTTGAGACAGGATCTCCCTACTTTTCCCAGGCTGGCTTGAACTAGCAATCCTCCTGCTTCTGTTTCTGTGTTCCAAGTGCTGGGATAATAGGCATGCACCAGCACATCTGCCCAGTCCTTTCCTTTTGAGTTTCTGTGGAGACCTCATGTGCAGGCGTGATGAAGTAAATCTTTGGCCATTGTGATCAACCCAACCTTCAGCCCCTTCCCTTCCCAGAGATTAGAGAGTAGAGCTAAAAGCCCCACATTTCTAATCATGCATTGGTTATCTGGTGACCAGTGCCCATCCGGAAGGTAACCAGGCCAGTCATGATGGTACACACCTATAGCCCAAATTCCAAATACTGGAGAGGCTAAGGTGAGAGGATTACTTGAGCCCAGAAGTTTGAGGCTAGCCTGGGTAACATAGTGGGACTCCATCTCAAAAAAAAGAAAAAAGAAAAAAAAAATAACAGAGTGGAACATAGTGGTACACACCTATAATCCCAGCATCCCAGCCCTCAGGAGGCTGAAGTAGGAAGACCATGACTTCAAGGCCAGTCTGGGCTGCATTAAAGCCCTGTCTGGCACTGTCCCAGTGTCACCAGTCATTTTGTTAGCAAACAAAAGACAATCTTATCACTCCAGAGATTCCAAGGATCTTAGGACCTGTGTGCCAAGAACCAAAGACCGAGACCAAATATGTAATTTCTTCTTATATCTCAATAGCACAACAGTGCAAGACAAACTAGAAATGATGTTAGTCATTTATTTTGTTTACATATGAAAACACTAGGATGGATTAGTGCATTCTGTACAATACAGTCCTTTTTAAACCATGCATTTTGAGATGAAGACTTATCCTTCTTCAGTGCTGACTCTGGAAAAGGATTTTTTTTTTAATTTTTATTTTTTTGTTATTCGTCTGTGCATACAATGCTTGGGTTATTTCTCCCCCCTGCCCCCACCCCCATCCTCTCCCCCCTACCCCCTCAATACCCGGCAGAAACTATTTTGCCCTTATCTCTAATTTTGTTGAAGAGAGAGTATAAGCAATAATAGGAAGGAACAAGGTTTTTGCTAGTTGACGAGAAAGGATAGCGTATACAAGGAGTTGACTCACATTGATTTCCGTGCATGTGTGCTTACCTTCTAGTAATTCTTTGATCTAACCTTTTCTGTAGTTCCTGTCCACTGTCTCCTATTGGCCTCAGTTGCTTTTAAGGTATCTGCTGTTAATTCTCTCGTTGAGGGCAACAAATGATTTTTAATACCCTGTTATTACCACTTTGTAACTACAAAAAAGTGGCTTGCTCTGCTCAACAGCACCCCAGAGTTTGATAAATCACTTTGTTTTTCTCTGGGCCGAGGGAGTCTTGCTAACTTTTGCCTGGATTGGCATTGACTGTTTTCAGCTATTAAGTTGAAGTGGAAAACGTGGTTAACCCTTTTTTGAACGAATACACAGAATTTCAAAAATACTACTAAAATAGTTCCTTTTGTAGCATTATAGAAATACAACATTTCCATTACACATTACTGGTGCACCACTGTAGACTCACCAGGGAAAACTGCAGCTGTTTAGCTTGCCTATCATGCTTAACTGCCTGTAATTCCTCCTGCGCATATTATTATCAGCTGTTAGAACTAAGAGGATCACTTACTTTACTTCATCCACCAGAATGATTATTTAATCTTACTTTGGTATATGAATTGTTAAGCATATTCTGTACTTGTGTATATGAATTTAAGCATATCTGTACTTGTGCAGCTTTGCTTCTCTCTACGAGACCATATTTTGGTTGGTTTACTTCTGTATTCGTCTGTGCATACAATGCTGGGTTATTTCTCCCCCTGCCCCCACCCCCATCCTCCTCCCCCTACCCCCCTCAATACCCGGCAGAACTATTTTGCCCTTATCTCATAATTTTGTTGAAGAGAAGAGTATAAGCAATATACGGGAAGGAACAAGGGTTTTGCTAGTTGAGAGAAGGATACTATACAGGAGTTGAACTCACATTGATTTCCTGTGCATGTGTGTTACCTTCTAGGTTAATTCTTTTTGATCTAACCTTTTCTGTAGTTCCTGGTCCACTTCTCCTATTGGCCTCAGTTGCTTTTAAGGTATCTGCTTTAATTTCTCTGCGTTGAGGGCAACAAATGATTTTTAATACCCTGTTATTACCACTTTGTAACTACAAAAAAGTGGCTTGCTCTGCTCAACAGCATCCCCAGAGTTTGATAAATCACTTTGTTTTCTCTGGGGGGCCAGAGGGGAGTGTCTTGCTAACTTTTTGCCTGGATTGGCATTGACTGTTTTCAGCTATTAAGTTTGAAGTGGAAACATTTTAACCCTTTTTTGAACGAATACACACTGAATTTCAAAAATACTTACTAAAATAAGTTCCTTTTTGTAGCATATAGAAATACAACATTTCCATTACACAGTTACTGGGTGGCACCACTGTAGACTCACCAGGAAAAACTGGCAGCTGTTACTTGCCTATCATGCTTAACTGCCTGTAATGTCCTGTGCATAGTATTATCAGCTGTTAGAACTAAGATGGATCACTTACTTAACTCATCCACCAGAATGGATTATTTAATTGATCTACTTTGGTATATGAATTTTAAGCATATTCTGTACTTTGGTATATGAATTTTAAGCATATTCTGTACTTGTCAGCTGTTGCTTCTCTCTACAACCATAATTTTGGTTGTTTACTTCTGTATCTTCTCTAACACTGGAGACCTTTAGCTGAGTCCTGGTCACATGCATTATGAGGTTTTCTTTGTTCTACTACATTAGGTATAATATACTCAAACTTTTTGTTTGTTTGTTTGTTTGTTTGTTGTTTTGTTTTGTTGTGCTGGGAAGGGGTGAATTGTGACATTTACAAAAGTTCTTACAATATACCATAGTTGAGCTCACCTGCTCCATCATTCTCCTTTATTCCTCCCCCCAACCCCCACCACCACCCCCAACCTCCTCTGGTGTTTTTTTCTTTATTATTGTTCTTGTGGTAGTACTGGGGTTTGAACTCTGGGTCCTGCACTTGCTTGGCAGGCGATCTACCACTCAATTGAGCCAGTTTTTCTAGTGAGAGTCCTTTCACTAGAAAAGGCAGTTCAGTGTTTCTACAGTAGGTGGCAGCAATTTCAAATTTCATTTTATTGTTTTCTGGTGGAACAAATGCTAATGCTAGAGCTTCTTTTTCTTTGTAACCGATTGACTCCAGGCATGATTGGACCTGCAATATTCCTGGTAGCCGCTGGATTTACAGGCTGTGATTATTCTTTGGCTGTTGTATTCCTAACCATATCAACAACACTGGGAGGCTTTTGCTCTTCTGGATTTAGCATCAACCATCTGGATATTGCTCCTTCGTGAGTACAAATATTAAGAATTTGCTCTGATTGACTTTAAATTCTTTTCTTATACTCATGATAAAATATATATATAAATAAATTTTACCATTTTAGCCATTTTTAAGTTACAGGTCGTGCCAGTAAGTACATTGACCTTGTTGTGCAACTATCTCTACAACTTTTCATCTTCTCCCACTGGAATCCTACACCTGTTAAACAGTAATGCTGCATTTCTCCTCCTCCCATGCCCTGGTAACCATCATTCTGTTTCTGCCTCTGTGAGTTTGACCACTGTATGAATAACTTTAAATCTCTTCACGATTTCAATTTACACAATAAGTTATTTTTAATTTTTTAAGTGTATCATCTCTTCTAGAGTATTCTCATAAGAACATTGCAATAACATGGTATAACTGTATCTCTCCACCCATCTAGACAGGAACTCTGGGCAACCTCGGCTCATCATGGTGCTTGGCACATAGTGAAAATTTAGTCAGATAGTGAATGCCAAGGAGCAGACCAATTGATGTGTCCAATTTTGACATTACCTGTGCAAATGGAACTGTGCAGTACTTGATAGTTTACAGAACACATTCTCAAACATTAGCTTAATTTATCCTTAACACGTAACAGTGAGGCAGGTGTTCTTGCACTATATTAAGGCTGAGACAATCAGGTCTAGAGAAATTAAGTGGTTTATCTAAATCACATACTATTAAGTGATAGAGCCATAATTTGAACCTAAAATTCCTACTTTTAAGCCTGAAATTCTGCATCTCCATCTACGTCTCTGGAAGCATTGAGCCACATTCTTCTAGAATTCTTTTTTGCCAGCTAACAAGGTAAAGGAAGGGACTGTATAAACATTTTAACCCACAAGATTTAGTACACTTAATTTGTAAAAATAATGAATATGATTTTTTTTTTTGAGAAAAGAGGGTCTTTTACCCTTTTTCGTCTATTCCAAAATCTTCAGAATCTTCTGATTCCTGGTAATCCTCTCCCTTCCCTTCAATACATACTCCAAAAGAAGCTCCACTACATACCCTTCTTATTTTTTTTTTTAATTTTTTTTTTTTATAGTGGGGTTTGAACTCAAGGTTTTGTGCTTGCAAAGTAGGCCCTCTACCACTTGAGCCACACCTCCAGTCCGTTTTGTTTTCATTATTTTGTAAAGCAGCCTTCCAAGTAGCTAAGATTACAGGTGTGAACTACTGGTACCCAGTTCACTACATACCTTTAGCCTTTGTGTGTGTGTGTGTGTGCGTGTGTGGTACTAGAGAGTAAACTCTGGGCCTCAGTAGGCAGGTGTTTACCACTTGAGCCACATCCCAACTCTTTTTTTTTTTTTCCTACCCCACCCCTTTTTGCTTTCATATGGTAATCTAGTACTTGGGAGGCAGAGGCAGGAGGACCTTGAGTTCCAGGCCAACCTGGACTACATGGTAAGACCCTGTCTCATAAAAATAAATTAAAAAGTAAAATGTAAAAAAGGCTGAGGAATATAACTCTGTGATAAAAGAGCTTGGCTGACATGCACAAGACCCTGAATTCAAACCCCCATGGACAAAAACAAACAACAACAACAACAAAAACACTTCACTAGTTGTTTCTAGTTCCCTATGTCTTGGTTAACAGGGGTTACATATCTTATTACCATGTTGTTTTTTAGTTAATTCTTGTCTCAATAACAATCCACTGTCCACTCAGTAGACCAGCTCTCCTAGTTAGAACAAGAACACTTGAGGACCATAGACACTTAAGCATTCAGCACCGGGCCTTGTGGTTAAAAAAAAAAAAAAAAAAAAAAATTCATCGAGTTCAGTGATCACTGTGGTTTTAACAAAGTGCATTGTAAGGCATAATATTATTAAGTATTGATTTGGAATCAAACAAATTGGATAACATTTTATAAGTCTTTTTTCATCTACAAAATGACAATAATGATCCCTACCTCATGAGACTGATTTCCTGTTAAATGAGATGATAAATGTAAAAGACTTATAACCAGGCCTGACAGGAAGTTTCCAATAAACAGTCAATATTCCTATTAACATATAATTATATACATGGTATTTTCTAAGCCTTTTCTTCCATGGATTGAAATAGAGGGTTTCTGTGGGTTATTTTATGTCCCATATTTAATCCCTTAAATATTTTAGGTTTTCAGCTGTTATTTCCACAGAATTCTGGTACTCCAGCAGCACAGAACAGACTGATGCCATACCAAAGTTTTCTTCGAAGCAGTCATCACTCTTTCATGGCCTTCCCTGGCCAACTGTGATATAAATACTTGAATGAGCTTCTTAGTGCTGACATTTAGAATTTCACAGCATTCATCTGCACTTAATAACTGTCACTGAAAAGGCCTGGCAACATTGCACTTGGTTCTTCCTGTTGCCAAGGTGTTAATGGTTTAAAAAAAGAGACAGGTCCTGCCAAGATGGGTAATTTAAGATACGCTTCCTAAAGGGGATAAGCCAAAAAGATTTGTGCTCATGCTTTTCTTGTTGTGTCATATATGTACAGATTTAAAACAGAAAAATTTATGGTGTTTATAGATAACTGAATTAAATTCAGAATTTTTTTTTTCATGGGACTGGGGTTTGAACTCAGGTCTTCACGCTTGCAAAGCAGGCACTCTCCTTCTTGAACCACACCTCCAATGCAGTTTGATCTGTTATTTTGGAGATGGGGGCCTCACAAACTATTTCCTGGGGCTGGACTCAAACCATGGTCCTCCCAATCTCAGCCTCCCAAGTAGCTAGGATTACAGGTGTGAACCACTGGTGCCCAACAAGAGGATTTATTATTATTATTATTATTATTTAGGTACCTTTCCATCCAAAATGGTAAGGAGAATTCAAATCAGCAGGCTGCAACCTAGATATTGAGAATCCTAACCCTAATAGAAGTGTTATTATCCCACGATAAGGCTACATGGGCCAAGAAAACATCAAGCCTCTTTAATTTTGTCCAGAATTTATTTAATAATTACACTGATTATCTCCCCCCAAAATAAAAGCTATAATTGGACTTTGCATATATCTAGGTGACCTTTATGAAAAATAAGTGCCATTACTTAATCACATTTTTTAACTTAGCTCCTTCACCACCTCTAAATTTTCATGCGAAAATATCAACTCTATGTTGTAAACAATGACAAAGACTGAAAAAGAATGCCACAAACTAAAAAGTTTAGCTGGCAGAGTGGCTCAAGTGGTACAAGCCTGCCTAGTAAGTGTGGGGCCCTGAGTTCAAACCCCAGTACTGCCAAGAAACACACAAAAGTTAAACTCAAATTTACACTCTTCCAGGTGCATTTCTTGGGCTGGCGGAGTGACTCAAGTGGTAGAGTACCTGCCCAGCAAGACTAAGGTCCTGGGTTCAAACTCCAGGACCACAACAACAACAAAAACTAAAAAAAGTTTAAAAGAAAAAGAAGTTATGGGGTAAACTAAGTTTCCATTTCCTAAGATGTGAACCATTAAATTTACAGAAAATAATTTCAAATACTGAAGTTGGAAAATAAAGCTATGAAATTGTATGATCTCATGTCTATAATCATAAATTAAAAATACAAGTATAGAAAAAAATAATTAGGATGTTTACTAAAATGTTAATGTTAATTATCTCTATTTTGAAAGAACTATAAGTAATTTTAATTTCTTAATGGTTTCCCTTTTTTATTAACTGGTGGGGGGTGGTTCTGGGGTTTGAACCCAGGGCCTCCCTCTTGCTAAGTAAGTGCTCTACCACTTGAGCTATGCCCCAGCCCTTTTTGCTTTAGTTATTTTTCAGATAGGGTCCCACACTTTTTGTCCAGGCCAGCCTGCAACCTTGATCCTCCTACCTATGCCCTCCATATAGCTGGGATTACAGACATGAGCCTCCATACCCAGCTTGCTAGTGACATGGAGTCTTACTAACTTTTTGCCCCAGGCTGGTATCAAACCACAATCCTCCCAATCTCCACTCTTCAAGTGGCTTATTTAATTTTCAGTAAGTATAATTCAATTATGTAATCTGGAAATAATTTTGTTTTTGCAGTGCTAGAGATTGAATCCAGGGCCTCAAGCATGCCAAGTGAGCACTCTACCACTGAACTATAACCCCCCAGCTCATAAACTTTTTTTAACTTTAAAAAATTCAAGCTAGACACACCAAGCCCCCCATCCAGAAACAGCATGTATGAAAACTTGTATGTCAGCACTATTCTGTATCACTTTGAAGGGATCAGTTTACAGGGCGCTTGTGGCTCACGCTTATAATCCTAGCTACTCAAGAGGCAGAGATCAGGAGGCTCGTGGTTCAAAGCCAGCCTGAGAAAATAGTTCTTGATTCCCTATCTTGAAAAAAGCCCATCACAAAAAAAGGGCTGGTAGAGTGGCTCCAGGTGTAGGCCCTGAGTTCAAGCCCCATACTGCAAAAAAACCACAAAAGAGCAAAGGGATCAGTTCAAAGGCTGTGTTCCTCTATGCAATGTCAAACTACTAACAAACTACTGAAATGTGGGTTTGTCACTTGCTAAATTAAAATCCTAGTTCAGTAAGTCATTCCACTGAGACATACAATTTCACCCGAACACAACCTGGGAGTAGGATGGCTGTTTATTGAAAGGAGCCGCATAAATGCATAACCCAGTAGTAAGCCTGTGAAAATGTCTCCACAGATATGCGGGCATCCTCCTGGGCGTCACAAACACATTCGCCACCATTCCCGGGATGGTTGGGCCTGGCATTGCCAAAAGTCTGACCCCGGATGTAAGTAGTTCTTTTGCTTGTAAACTGAAAACGTGGGAGGAGCACACCTGTGTTCCTACTTTTAATGGTAAAATTCAGAGTGTCTATTCTTAAGAAATTCTCCATAGCAACAAAAATCCACACAGGAAAGTATACTTTTCAAAAACCACTCTTTGAATTTAGACAGAACAGTAGAACTAATGAAGACCTTACAGCTGAAATCACATGAGTATTTAAAAGGTGTGATATTACCAAATAAATGATTGGTGTGTTTGGTTTGGACAAAAAGTGGACCAAAAAGGTGAGTAAAATGTGAGGAGGTCATGTGAGAGAGAGTAAGGCACAGTGATGCATTTTTGTTGCTGTTTGTTTATTGGTTTGTTTTTGGTAGTACTCAGGGCCTTGCACTAACTAGTTGAGCTCTCCCACCTGAACCCCCACTCAGCCCTGGAAAAAGTTAAAGTAGTTGAAAATGTTTACAGGACCCAAACACTTGGGAAGATGTGATAGGTGTCCTCACATATTTGAAGGGCTGCTAAGTGAAAGATGGAGACTTACTCTCAGCAAGCAGTTCTGCAAAGACAGAAGGTATGGGAGATATTAGGAAAAGGTCCTATTGAAGTTGTTACTGTATCGGTCCCAGGGTACAGCTCAGTGATAGCACTTACTTAGCATGCTCGGGCCCTGTGTTCTGTCCCCAGTACACACACACAAACACACACACACACACACACACACACACACACACACTATGCTACTACATGTAGTGAAACCCTGAAATAGTCAAACCTTTATTCGATGAGCATTTCTGGAATGCTTATTGGTAAACTATACAAAGTTATGTTCAATGGCAAAATGACAAGCTTCTTCTACACTTAAGGAATTTGCCATTTAGAGAGTATATAGAGAGCTGGGTGTGGTGGCTCATGCCTGTAATCCTGGCTACTTGGAAGGCTGAGATCAGGAAGATTACAGTTTAAGGCCAGCCCTGGAAGATAGTTCTTAAGATCCCATCTCCAAAATAACCAGAGCAAAAATAGGCTGTCTCACCTGGGGTTTGAACTCAGGACCTTGGGCATGCTAGGCAGGAGCTCTACCACATGAGCCACTCTGTCAAGCCCTTCTTGTGTTGGTTATTTTTGAGACAGTCTCACTATCCTCCTATTTGTGCTTCCTCGAAAAGCTGGGATGACAGGCACATGCCACCACACCCAGCTATTGGTTGAGATGGGGTCTTGAGGACTTTTTGACTGGACTGGCCTTGAACTTCAAGTCTCCTGATCTCTGCCTCCCAAGTAACTAGGACTACGAGCTTGAGCTGCCACACCCTGCTAATCACTAAAATTTACGGTGGATTTCTAAAAAACATTTCACTGAAAAGCATTCACTTCAGATGAGTATAACAGCCACAGGTCTTCTTCTTTCTCCTTGTTTCCCTTTTTCCCTAAGTAATAAATGACTTCATACTGCTTCCTAGTGCCATCCCTTCCTCTTTCATATTGCCCATTCTATTGCTTGCTTGTTTGTTTAAAATGATGCAAAGGTAGCACTCTGGTTGGATTGAAATTATGAAAATTAAAGTGGTTGCAGACGGTATCAAAAGATCCCAAATTAGGATAACCTTGGTGTTTTTATGCTGTTGGAGGTACATGCCCTGCTTCGTGTGCCATTGGAGACCTTTCACACTGGACAGGTATCCTTAGGACATCCCAGACCCTTGAAACTGCACCTCAGGATCCAGCTCAACTCATCCTTCCTTGATATGATTGACAAGACACTTCACACTTCAGAATTTGGAGATTAGCCACAGGCATAACTTCCCTAGTAACACATGAGTCAAGGACACGCCACACCTTTTATTTTCATTATCTTCTTTTTTGTTTTGGTTTTGCTTTTTGAGACAGGGTATCCAGGCTGGCCTGAAACTCACAATCCTCATGCTGAGGATCCTTCTGAGTGTCTGGATTACAGATGTGTGCCACCAAGCCTGACTTAACATTTATTTTTACAAGGCACAAATCCTGGGGCTGGGGATGTAGCTGAGGGGTAGAGTGCATGCATGGCATGCCCGGCACCCTGAGTTTGATCTCTAGCACAAAAAAAAAAAAAAAGGAAAAGAAAGAAAAATCAAAATGTACGAATACTAAGTATACAGCTATATAAATATTAGAAGCATTCTGTCCGAGCAAACATTTCCCAATCACAACAGAACATTACTCCGCAGCAAGCCCCAGGTGCCTTCTATCCACTCTTCCCTCACCCCACCAAAAGCAGAGGCAATTAGTCTGATTTTTGAGCTTTATGTAAATGGCAGTCACTCAGCAGGTCCTGTTTGCCTGGCTTTGTTGCTTGGCACTTTGTGAGAAGTGTCTGCTTGGGAGCTCGTTCATGTCCTTGCTGTATGGTGTTCCATTGAGCAAATGCACCACAGTTCTGCTGGGTTGTTTCAAGCATGGGACTTTTACGAATAATGCTGCCAGTGTAAAACTCTTGTGTCTCCATCTTATTTTTAAAGTGGACTACAAACACAACTTTCTCATTTGCATTTCTTTCTTTCTCTTAGAATACCGTTAGAGAATGGCAGATTGTTTTCTGCATCGCTGCTGCTATTGACGTATTTGGTGCCATTTTCTTTACGATATTTGCCAAAGGTGAAGTGCAGAACTGGGCTCTCGATGATTACCATGGACACAGGAACTGAAGAAACCAATAAATAATCCTATCTCTATTCATGTATTTTTATTTATCATATAACCTGAAAGTGCCTTTGCTATTTTACTGTATAAGCATTCTACACATAGGAAAATGTAAAATTCTTAAGGCTTACAATCAGGAAATGCCACTAGCTTCCAGATTAGTAAAATTAGCTATGTTTAATTATTGATACACAAGCTGGACCTTATTTATACTGTAGGTTCACATAGGTGGCTGCAAGTTAGGCACCATGAAGTAGGCACGCTCTACTGATTTTTAAGAGCCATGCTTCAAGGAATAAGCTGAAATGGACCCCTACTTCCTTTGCTTACTTAAACTAGGTAGCAGTGCTCAGGTCTTGGTAAGCACCTGTTTTTGTCCACTTTCCTCATAAAAATTGTGATCAGCTCTCCCTCAGATGTAGGTCTCAAACCTTAGCCTTTGCACAGAGCTGCCAGCCACTGTGTAATTGGCCTGGAAATAGCCTGAGGGAAGCATGCCCACGCAGCTGCCACACATCCTCTCCTGGCTTCAGGAGCCCAGCGTTTATCTGAGGCAGCATCCAGGCCCAGAGCCAGCGCCAAGTCTGGATGCTGTTACCGTGAAAGTAAAGCCCTGAGCAGACAGGAGCAGTTCTCACATGTGACCTCCACACAGCCTCTAGCACTCCCTCCCCCACACCCGGGCTATTTGCTGGCAGGTAACCTGCAAAAGAAAGTCTGATACCCACCAATCACAAATAGTGTTGCCCTTGTTAAAACTACTTTTCGCGGCTCAAAGTATAAATTTCCAAGTTCTGGGTTTTGAGCTTTATCAAAACAAATAAAAAATTTTTTTTACTCACTTTTTCTTCAGTCTTACTTCAGTTATGCTTCTGGTTAAAGTTCAGTGACTTTCAGGGCTGGGGTTGTAGCCCAGTGATAGAAGGCTACTCAAAGGCCCTGGGTTCAATCCCCAGCACCACAAAAAATAAAGTAAAAGTTACCACAACACCTGAAGCAAGTATAATCATCTTTACTTTTGGTTCCTGAAATCATATTTGTCCAATTTTTTCCTGATCCATCTTCTGGTAGTTGTTGAATGTATACTGAGGATATTTATAGAATTTAAGATTTGAAGAGTTTATGAAAAGGAAGGAAAGAAAGAAAGAAGATGGCTCAGTGTTAGAGCTCTTGTCTAGCATTTACAAGGCCCTGGGTTTGGTCCCCCATACCACAAAAAAAGAAACCATAAAATTTGGTTCATATTTTATGTTTGTTCAACACTACCTGTAACATTTAGCTAAAACTTGTTTAATGTAACGATGTGAATACATTTATGTAAATTTATTTTTAAATTTGTAAACACAAATTAAGTTGCTATGTTGTATTTCTTTTATAAATAATCAAAATAAACGTTTTTGGATCGATTTTTGGATCTGATGGTTCTGTGGTATTTTCTAGCATCCGCAGTGAGTATTTGACATCTTTTCTGCATCCTCATCAAGCCATCCATCTACCTCTATGAGCATCTCTGCCACACTGGCTAAGGAGCCTTAGGCCTTCAAAATGACAGTCACAGAAATCTCTGTTGCCCTCCACTTGCCTTTCCTAGTTCTGAAAGGGGTGCACTCTTCTTTCTAAAGTACATACTTTAGATGTCACTGACGTTCTGCTTCCTCTAAGAACTTGCTTCAGGAATCCTCTTTAATTCATTCCTTCCATCTCTCTTATTCTTTTCCTTCTGTACAAGTCTTCTGTAGCCTTTAAACAAAAATATGAAAGTGTTTGGGAACATAGAAAACATATATCCAGAATATCTCTAGGATGCTACTCGGAAATGAAACAGTGGTTACCTCTGGAGAGAAACAGACCCCAGAAGTAGGAAAGGGGATTAATTTTTAGGTTACCCGGTGTGCCATATAACCTATTCTATAAGGACTTCATTTCCTAAGCGAAACCCCCATCGCTCAAGCTGTTGTGTCATCACCATGAGGTTCTCAGATACCAACTGCACACCCCTCTGTGACTCCTTTCACTCCTGGGACTGTGCAAACCCAACCTTGCTCACCACCCAACTCAAATAAAACCAGCTGTTTGAGCCACATTCTCTGTTCCTATCAGAACTACCATTTCCCCAGTCATTGAAGCTTAGACCTGGAGTATATTTTTGTCCTCCCTAGTCTCATGCCCCCAACCCCACGTCTAATAAGCCACCCATCTTTTCCATGCCAGGTTTTTCAGTCTTTGATTTTTTTTAATCCCTCTGCCACCTCCAATGGCTTTTGATTCCAACCAGAACCAAAAAGTTATCTGGTCTCAGTACCTTTTGATCCTCTTGTGTCCCAGCTTCCCACCAGTGCTAGATTAATTCTCCCCACACACACCCCTTGGGGAGCCCCAGGGCTTCCCTCTGTCTACCTAGCTGCTATTCCCCCTGACTCCCAAGCCCAACCTAGTCCAGCCTCATCTCCCACCATGCCCATGGCAGTGGCACCCAGCTATGGTGCTCCTCCATACCTGATTTACATCGTCCCTCCATTCCTGCATTTCATCCCCACCCACTCATGACCCCTAATTTTCCCCAACATCTCTGATTAATGTGTAACCTCTTTCATCCACTAAAACACTGTGTTGTTTGTTATTTGGAGTTAGGCTCAGTTATAAGGAGATAATTGATTCATCCCACAAATATTAAGTATCTATCCTTTGCTAGACAATAAGGATACAAGATGCACTTGACCTGGTCCTGCACTCCCCAGAGCCCAGGCTGGCTTCCTGATCCCCTTTCTCCTTCATTATTGTACTTATGAGCACATGTCCTATCTCCCCGTTAGATTCTTCACAAGTATCTTAAGGGTAGGATCCCTTTGATTCACCTCAGCATGGTCTCCTCACAAGTGTTTATTCCATTTTAATTAATGAATATTTAGTAAATAATTCTTCAGTTAAAGGAGGAAGAGAACCTTTTCATCTCATATATTTTTTCAGTATGTTGTCCTCCAAAAAGCCAAATAAATGTGTCTTTAACTCTAGCAATGAAGAAATGACACCTTGTTAACTTCAAAATAAATTGTAGGTGGCAATTAGTGATAATTTTCTTTTTCTTTTGGTGGTACTAGGGTTTGAACTCAATCCTAGGCAGGTGCTTGCTAGGCAGGTGCTGTACCACTTGAGCCACTCCACCAGCCCAATAAATGGTTTTGAAAGCATCTTAGGTCTGTAGAGGCAAATATTCTTCCTGCTTATTCAGGAAGTATTTCCTGAGCATTCATATGTGCCAGGCACTGTTCCTTACACAGGGAGACAGGAGTGAGAAAAGAAAAAAGCAAGTCTCTTTTCTCATGGGGCTCACAATCTTATTATCCATCTTTTTCTTCATAAGTTCCAGCCTTTGAAAGCTACCCTGCAAAATAACATTATCCACCCAACAATCAAATCCTGTGAGCATGAGTGTACTGACTGACCTCAAGAATCAGGTTTACGAAAGAGAGACAAACGCTGAAGTCAGCAGTTTGGTTTAGGCATTCGAATGTTTTTCTTCAGCCTTTGTTTCATTTGCAAGAAATCAGAAAGAGATGTTGAGTTTAGCTCCAAGTAGACAACCTAATCTCCTCCCTGAGATCGGCACATCACTGTTCAAAATGAAATTCCCCCAAATACAAAACCATTGGTGTAGTATTTAAAGTTAAAAGCAGGATGAACTCTAGGAAATGGCCTAGTTCCTCTGTGAAAGCATGTTCCTGCCTGCGATGAATGGTCAGGGGTAAATGTCTCATTTCAGCTGAAGAATAAATTCTCTCTCATACAAATGTAAATTAAGATGGATCACTACGCCTTTTCAGATGCCTCAGTTTTTTTAAGGCAACCAGAAGCAGAAAAGTCAACTATAAAAGTTTTTACTCTCAAAGGGTAACATAGAACATTATTCCCAGGAGCTTTGCAGGAGAGCTGTGAGTACAAGCAATCGTGAAAAGAAAGGAAATTAATTTTCTGTCCTCTGTTCCCATGGGCCTGGAGGAGGAAGCACACTTGTAATTTTCCACCCTCTGTTTACTTTCACTTTATCTCGGTGTTGGGGGAGGAGGACACAGAAGTTCCACGTCACTGCCAGTCCTGTGCTTGAAGCGAGAAGCCATTGCTGCACTACTGGGCTGAAATCGTACTTGACCATCTGTTTCTCCATGCACAAGTCCTCGTGCCACTTTCAGGGGGACATATAAGTAAGTAAATAAACAAGCACATGTACATAATCTAAATCTATTTCTACTTCACTCTCATTGGCAGGAGGACAAACAGGCTAATATTCTCAAGAGCATCGTCCCCTGTCGGGATCAAGTATGCACGTTAGTCCCGGTCTTCCTTTCTGCACCACAAATAGCACTTGCTTTTACAAAAGCATTCTACAGTGGCACTCCACAATCTGAAACTTAAGCTTTCCCCAGAAGTTTAGTTGAGATTGAAAGCAATCTGGGTATGACAGGGAGTTGGACCTTTTCAATATTCAAGAATGGGAACTAGGAGTGCAGCTTGGTGGCAGAGCACTAGCCTAGCATGCACAACACCCTAGGCTTGCTGCCTTGCACAGGGGGAAAAAGTGTTTTTTGTGGGAAGTATTGGGATGCTAGTCGAGGAAATTCACGTTTGTATATCCTATAAATCACCCGTACAACGTCTATTGTAACATACTTTTAAAACTTATGCAAGGGGGCATGGTTGTGCAGGCCTGTAATCCTAGCACTGAGGAGGCTGAAGCAGGAGGTTATGAGTTTGAGGTCAGAGAAGCCTATGCTAATAGCTTCTGTACAGCACATACCTTACTCTGTTATTCCTGGGTGGCTTCTTGGCACACCAGTTCTTTCTGCCCTTGCTTTTGACTCACTCAGTAAAATGGAGCCTACAGAGGCTCCAGGGTTAGCCTAACCAAAGGTGTAGGCAGGCTTGTGAGCACTGTATTAAACCTTCTGAGTCCCAATTTTTCCACTTCAAATCTAAAGAGATTAGGAAAACAGAAGGAGGAAGGTAGAATGGATTGTTCTCGTACTATCTAAGATTGGGGGTCAAATGAACAAACATTAAAGCTGATAAAGAAACAGTGAAGAGATGTGTTCAGAATTGAATGTCATAGCATCTAGCAATACAATATTATAAAAAAATACAATATTTAAAATTTCTAGCCAAGTTTGAACATGGAAATCTGAAGAAGTATTCAGTTAAAACAAAAAAGAGAGAGGTGTGGCTCCAGAGGTGTGACTGCTTTGCAATCTCCAAGCTCCGAGTTCAAACTCCAGTCATGCAAATAAATAAGTAAACAGCATAGCACAATACCACTTCCAATTTTTAAGAAAATACAAAAAGTGATACTTCTCTGAGGATACTTGTATAATTTAGAATATGTATATTGAACATACTAGAGTGGGCAGCAATGCATGGGAGGAGAGTGAGAGCAGACATGGGGAGGGAGAGGGAACAATTGAAAGCAAAGCTGGGTGTGGTGGTACATGCCTTTAATCCCAGCACTCAGGAGGCAGAAGCAGGAGGATCACAAGTTGGAAGCCAGCCTGGCCTACACAGGAAGATCCTATCTCTTAAAAAAGAAAACAAAACAGATATGTGGGCCAGCATTGAACATAAGCTCTACAAACATGCGAACAAGAGGTAAAAATCACTTTTAGTGCATACTGGATATGTTAAAGTAGAGGAGGAAAGAGACGCTCTCTAATTTTCACTCCTCTGCATTAATTCTTTTGCAAGGAATGTGCACTGCTTGGTAACTAAAACGCTGCAGATGCAAAGTTATTAGGACTGTGGGGAAATGTCGTTGTATATATTCTAATGGGGTTACTTTTTCAAAATGCTGTATTGAGATATAATTCACATACCATAAAATTCACATTTTAAAAGTGCACAATTCCTGGGTGCCGGTGGCTCACACCTGTAATCCTAGCTACTCGGGAAGCAAAAATCAGGACAGGAACAGTTCCAGGCCAGCCCCATCAAATGGTTTGCAAGACCCTGTCTGTAAAATACCCAACAAAAACCAGGGCTGGTGGAGTGGCTCAAGTGGTAGAGTGCCTGCCTAGCAAGCATCAGGCCCTGAGTTCAAACCCCAATACCACCAACAAAAAAGACACAATTCAGGGCTGGGGATATAGCTCAATGTTACAGCATTTACATAGCACGCGCAAAGCCCCTGCTCCACCCCCACCCCCAAAAAGTGTACAATTAGAAAAAAAGAGGTGGGGGGAGGGGCAGTGGTGTAGTACTTTATTAGCATGTAAGAGGCCATAGGTTCAAGGACCTAGGTTCAACCCCCAGCCACACACACACACACACAGACAGTACAATTTAGCGACTTTTATTATAGTCACAGTCATTCAACTATCAAATTTCTAATTTCCGAACATTTCCTCACCCCAAAAA